TGCTCAGCATCACTGGCCATCAGAGTAATGCAAATCAAAACCACAATGAGATACCATCTCACACCAGTTAGAATGGCGATCATTAAAAAGTCAGGAAACAACAGGTGCTGGAGAGGATGTGGGGAAATAGGAACACTTTTACACTGTTGGTGAGACTGTAAACTAGTTCAACCATCATGGAAGACAGTGTGGCAATTCCTTGAGGACCTAGAACTAGAAATACCACTTGACCCAGCCATCCCATTACTGGGTATATACCCAAAGGATTATAAATCATGCTGCTATAAAGACACATGCACATGTATGTTTATTGTGACACTATTCACAATAGCAAAGACTTGGAACCAACCCAAATGTCCATCAATGACAGAATGGATTAAGAAAATGTGGCACATATACACCATGGAATACTATGCAACCGTATAAAAGGATGAGTTCATGTCATTTGTAGGGACATGGATGCAGCTGGAAACCATCATTCTCAGCAAACTATTGCAAGAACAGAAAACCAAACACCAGATGTTCTCATTCATAGTTGGGAACTGAACAATGAGAACACTTGGACACAGGAAGGGGAACATCACACACTGGGGCCTGTTGTAGGGTGGGGGGAGAGGGGAGGGATAGCATGAGGAGATATACCTAATGTAAATGACAAGTTAATGGGTGCAGCACACCAACATGGCACATGTATACATATGTAACAAACCTGCACGTTGTGCACATGTACCCTAGAACTTAAAGTATGTATACAAAAAAATTAATCCTGGGTGTGTCTGTGAGGGTGTTGCTAAAAGAGATTAACATTTGAGTCAGTGGGCTGGGGAAGGCAGATCCACTCTTAATCTGGTGAGCAAAATCTAATCAGCTTCCAGCAAATATAAAGGAGACAGAAAAACATGAAAAGGCAAGACGGGCCTAGCCTCCCAGCCTACATCTTTCTCCCGTGTTGGATGCTTCCTGCCCTCAAACATCTTACTCCAAGTTCTTCAGTTTTGGGACTCTGACTGGCTCTCCTTGCTTTGCAGCTTGTGGGACCTTGTAATCAGGTAAGTTAATACTTAGTAAACTCCTAAAGATATATAGTTTTGTCCCTCTAAGAGAACTCTCACTAATACAGGGCTGCTCCTGGGACAGGGGTTTTTGATTCCCTGGCTTCTTTGGTTTGCCTCTCATGCAAGCAGAGTGGGGTCTGGGCATTTGAGAGAAAACTCTCCAGCAGTTGGAAGTCAGGTGCAGCAGACTCTGTTGATGAGGTCCAGAGAAGGATCAGAGCAAGTGCTGAGTACTGGCGACCTCCAGCAGCGCTTGCATTTGAAGGGGCACCAGGACACGGCAGTTAGAACTCGAACTCTGGAAGTAGACTGCTTGGGGCTGGATCTTGCCCCATTGGGTAAGTTGCTTTTATTTACTTTATTGTTTTATTTATTTTTATTTTATTTTGAGATGGAGTCTTGCTCTGTCACCCAGGCTGGAGTGCAGTGGCACGATCTCGACTCACTGCCACCTCCACCTCCCGGGTTCAAACGATTCTCCTGCCTCAGCCTTCTAAAGAACTACAGGTGTGCACCACCACATCCAGCTAATTTTTGTATTTTTAGTAGAGACTGGGTTTTGCCATGTTGGCCAGGGTGGTCCCGAACTCCTGACCTCAGGTGAGCCACCCACCTCGCCTCCCAAAGTGCTGGGATTACAGGTGTGAGACACCGCACCCGACCTATTTACTTATTTTTAAATGCATTTTTTAAATTGAAGAATAACATCATAGGAAGAAGTCTACACATTCTAAGTGTGCAGCTCACAAACTTCCCCAAATGGAACACACCCGTGTAACCAACACAACATCTGGTTCATGAAATAGGGTGTGACTGGCGCCCCAGGAATCCTCACTCACACGCCGTTCTAGTTACTATTGCCTCCAGGATAACCACTATTTTGACTCTAACGCCATAGACTTTAGTTTTGCCTACTTTTGTGCTTTACATAAATGGGACCGTGCAGTGCACACTCCGCTGTGTCTGGAGCCTTCCACTCAGAATTCAGTGTCTGAGATTCATCCACACTGTTGTGCACAGTTACTATTCGTTTGTTTTATTGCTGAGCAGTGTTCCATTGTATTTGATTGTTTCCAGTTTAGGGTGATTTTAAACAGTGTTGCTGTGAGCCCTCTTGTATACCTGTGGGAACAGAAGTCTCATTTTGTCACTTAATATTAGTTAGTGTCTTATCCAAGTTTGCAGTGGCAGCTACAGTGTGGTGTCTTGCACATAGCTGGTGCTCTATAAATGTTTGTGGCATGAATCAAGAGGCAGGGCAAGTCCAGAGGTAGATAAACAACCCTTGCTGGGATCTGGCCTCTGGTTCACTGGTTCACCTGCTCTATGATCCTGGACTTTGGGCCCCACTTGCCGGGTTTCAGAGGGAAACTGACAGCCACAGGGTAGAGGAGACAAAAACGAAGTCTCCCAGGTGTGCCGTTAACAAGCACAGCGCTTAACCATGTTGGGAACTATCCCCAAATGACAGCTGAGAATCCTCACTGACTTTTCTTTGAAGGAAAAAAAAAAAATTCTTTCAGACCTGTAACTAGGCTAATCACAAGAAACATCTGTGACCTCCTAAAAATATCTGCTTGGTACCATTTTGTAGAGCATAATATTTATACAGCCCAGCAGTGTAATTAAATTGATGTTTAGTTAACTCTGGGAAACAGCTGAAGGCTCCCAAAGCCCAGAATGAGATCTGGAACGGGCTGGAAAGGGGCCCTGGGAGGTGTTCCCGCAGGCTCTTGGTGGGGTATCCTGGAGTGGCCACAGAGATGGGGGGACATGAGAAACTGAAGAACATGCTGTGTTGAGGGACTGCATGGCTTCCTCAGGGGCAGTTGGATTATAGTTGTTTCTATGCTTCTGTCCAGCAGCCTCTGGAACGTCATTTCCTGCTGAGGAAAGGTTTTCCCTTAAAGGGCTAATCAGAAAGTGGCCTGTCTCAAAGCGCCTTTGCTGTTGTTTTGTAGCCTGAGGAGATGAAGTGGGACGAAGGTGAGTTTTTCTGGAGGGTTTCATGCTTGTTCCTGGAGAACTGCTCGTATTGGCGGGGATCTCAGCTGGCAGGAAGTAGAGCCCGTGCTTTCTCTTTCTCCTCATCAATAAAGAAAGGAGCAAAGCTGAAGCAAGTTTTTTCTTTTTTGGAAAAAAAAAATTCAACTTTTATTTTAGATTCAGATGTGCAGGTTTGTTACCTGGGCATATTGCGTGATGCTGAGGCTGTGGATGACTGATCCCGTCCCCAGGGACTAAGCATAGATTTTAGGCAAAGGGGCTCCATAGCTTTTCAGCTAGGCAAGTTTCTCACTGGAGCCCCCCGAGGCCTGCAAAGCAGGACTGGAGCCTACTGCGGGCAGGGCCTGGTGTGGGGTCTCCTCTGAAGTCTTGAGATGACACAAAAACATCAGGCCTTTACAGGGGTGCCTCCAGAGTGCGGGTACGGGTGGGATTCAGAAGGGTCTTCGGGGAGCTTGAGAAGTCTGGAGTTGGGAAGGCAGTCCAGGGACAGTACCTCCTGCTTTGGCCATCCCCTTTTTGTGGAATTCTGCTCTTTGCATGAGGAAAAGGGAAAACACATTGATGTTTTGAGCCCATAAGCATTCCTTTATTCATTCATTCTGTGATAATTACCAAGCAACTACTACCTAATGTACCTTCTTGGCCCTGTGCTGAGAGTAAGGGATGAAAGACTGAGCAAAATGGACACCTCCTGATATGGTTTGGCTGTGTCCCCACCCAAATCTCATCTTGAATTGTAGTTCCCATAATCCCCACGTGTGGTGGGAGAGACCTCGTGAGAGGTAACCGAATCATGGGGATGGGTTCCCCCATGCTATCTTCATGATAGTGAGTAAGTTCTCGTGAGATCTGATGGTTTTATAAGGGGCTTCCCCCTTCACTTGGCTCTCATTCTTCTCCTTCATGCTGCCATGTGAAGAAGGACGTGTTTGCTGTCCCTTCTGCCATTGTTTTGTTTCCTGAGGCCTTGCCAGCCCTGTGGAACTGAGTCAATTAAACCTCTTTCCTTTTTAAACTACTGAGTCCCAGGTAGTACTTTCTAGCAGCGTGAAAATGGATTAATACACCTCCCATCCTCAGGGAACTCCCAGTGTAGTGCCTAGCTACACACACAGTGAGGGCTCAGGAGGGAAAGCTGAGGGACTCTTCATAGACTTGTAGGGGCTTAGGACAGACTTCCTGAGGAACAAGATCAGAGGAATGAGTGAGAGGTCCCTGAGATAGGGCAGAGATGAGACCATTCCAGGCAGAGGAAACAGCATGTGCAAATGCCCTGTGGCTCACAGAGCATGATAAGTTCCAGGAACAGAACAAGACCAGTGAAGATGGAGAAAGGGGGTCAGTGGCAGAAGGCTGGAGACTGGGGTCAGGCTTTGTAGACTGAAGCCAGAACTCTGGTGGTCATCCTTACATGTTCTGAGACCTGGAACCACCTGCTATGGGGTGGACTCCATGCTGGCCCTATTTTATTCTGGAAAAGAAGGTTGGGTGGAAAATGGCACTCTTAAGGCTGGAGTTGCCAGAAAGATTTAGGGTTTCTCCCCATCTTGAAATGTGTAACCCCAGACTCCTCCAAACCCTGATGGTGACCATCAAGATGGAGGTGGCTCCATGACATCAATGAAGGGACAGTGAACAAGGACCTAGAAACAAATCCTGATCATGGAATTGAGGGCTTCATCTCAGTGTCTGTCCAAGCCACAGCCTAATAGGTCCTTAAACAGACTCAAAGGGAGAAACGGCCCAGGGAAGAAGGAAAGCCACCATTTGTATTTCCCAGTGGCGCCACCTTTTATTCCAAGTCTAAAGTTATCCCAAGGCCACACATATGTGGGTAGGGGATGGTGTGCTTGGGTGGGCTTGTGGTGTTGTGCCATGGGAAGCGGTTTGGAGGATAAGAGAATGTGGTGCCCAGATCCACAATGCCATCCTTACCTCTCCAAAGGGTTCTTGGGGTACCCCTCCCCAATGTAGGGATGACTCCAGAAGGTCTCTGTTTCCCTTGGATATTTATAATCCTAAAAACAGATCAGTATTTAAAAGTTAACGAAGAAAAGGAAAGTTAGCTCAGTGACAACAATAAAAAGGCGCTCAGGGCTTAACATGTATTATCTTATTTCTTGTCACTACTACTTCTGAAATTAGCTCTATTTCCATGGGGAGGGTGAAAACCTGCTGAGGTTTTGGCCTTAGAAAGGTGGTGGTGCTTCCCCCTACTTCCAACCCATGTAATTAAAAACTTAAAAAGTAAAACTATGCTAAACCATAAATCAAGTGCAAGATAGATGAATCAAGTTCTGGGTGTTTCTCCACAATGACTAGTTTGATGTGTATTTTTCAACATTATTATACATAACTGTGGTTATTTTTATGTAAATTCGAATTACGTGATTCTGAAATAGTTTAATATAAAATAAAAATAAAGTCTCACTTTACAACCCAAATATGAAATAGAATACCAAGAGATTAAAGGGAGTTGGGAATCTCATCATTTCAAAAGCATTAAGATAGACTGGTCTGTGAGCTTTGCTGAAACTTGTCCAAGATGGGGCTGTTCTCAGCCGGTAAAAGGGAAACCCACCATGCTTTGTGTCGTTACTATGGAAAGGTTGGCCTGGACTTAATTGAGCTGGGATTTACATGAGGTATTCAGGAAAGTATCTCTCTAATAAATATAACTGCCATATAGCAAATTATGCTGGAAAAAAATCCCTTGGTGCCTTTGAATTATGTGTGGACACAGTAGGTACTTTCTCTGCCTCCTGGGTCACTTAGGGGAAGAGAAGTTAAGTGACTTGCATAACAGCACAAGGTCATCGTGGAGCTGAGGTTTGGAAATGGGTCTGCTTGGTTCCAGGTGTCTTGTTGAGAGAGGTTTAGTGTTCCTGCCCTCCTCTTTAAATTACTTTTTAAAAAAAAAAAAAAGAAGAAAAAAATCAAAGAGCTAGACAGGGCTTTGAAACTCATTTAATCCAGGGCATGCATTTTAGAGATGAATGAACTGAAATCCAGAGAAGAAAAACTGAATGACGCAAAGCCATGGTTGCTGTGCTTTGGTTGGCTTCACCAGTTTTCCAGGGAAGCTCTTGAAAGAGGCCTGAGCTCTACTTTAAGCTGGTTCTTAGCCTCGCTGTGTGGTCACCAGGAGACGACTTGCCCTCTCTTGGTTCAAACCCCGCCTCTCAGGGAAGCAGGTAGGTTGGATGAGGTGTCCTCTCACATTCCTTCAAGCTTAAAAGCTCTCTATGTCTGATTCCAGCCTCTTCTCATTGATTACTTCCCATTGTCTCTTGGGGATAAAATTGGGGTGGTGGTAAGGGGAGGCCCCATAAGAAATGGGGTGGAATTAATGAGCCAAGAATGTAGAGGCAATAATTTTTCCAAGGAAAATTTAGTAAAGAGAAAATAAAATTTCTTTCCTTTTTATTTTAAAGAAATAGCTGGTATCAGAGTTCAAGATGACTGACCAGTGTACGATGAATTTCCATTTTTCTTTATTACAAAGAATCATTCAGAGATGCTCTCCCATTTTCATACCCACACAACACATAAAGCTCAATACACACTTGCACACACCTGCACATCAAACATGCCCTGGGAATGAAGCATCACAATGAGCTGAATGAATGAGTTGTTCAAGGCAGACAGCCCTGGGCAGGGCTTGGTTATAGCTTTGGTGGGAGTCTCTTTGGAGAAGTCCATTTGGTGGAGTGCATAGGCACAGAACCTTGAAAAACTTTCTGAGATGTCACTGACCAGTTTGGCCGGTATCTAAAATTGTCTCCTGTTTATATTTTCTTCATCTTGAAGAACTCTGTGACATACGATTAGTTATAAGGTTTCTCATATCTCCCAATATTTTCTCTGAAGTTGGATTCCAATGTCTTTTTTTGAGTGGCGGTGTCCAAATTACTTAGAGCCACAAAAACACTGAGTCACAAGCTATCTCAAAACTCTGCAACTTAACTGATGTATACTCATGGACCTGCGGTATGACTGAGGATCTGCTAATTCAGGCTGGCTGGGCCCTGCCCCTCCAGTCTCCCATCTCCTTTCCCTCCCTGCTATGGTTTGAATGTATCCCCCAAATTTCATGTGTTGGATACTCAATCCCCAATGTGGCAGTATTGAGAGGTGGGGCCTTTAAGAGGTGATTGGGGCTCTTCTCTTTACAAATAGATGAGCTCATTCATAGGTTGATGAATTGATGAATTGATGGGTTATTATAGAAGTGGAACTGGTGGCTTTAAAAGCAGAGGAAGAGAGGCCTGAGCTAGCATGCTCAGCTCCCTCACCACGTAATGTCCTGTACGGTCTCGAGACTCTTCAGAGAGTCCCCACTGGCAAGAAGGATTTCACCAGACGTGACCCCTGACTTCCCAGCCTCCAGACCTGTAAGACATAAATTTCACTTCTTATAAATTACCCTGTTTCAGATATTCTGTTATAAGCAACAGAAAATGAACTGAGACACTCCCCTTCAGACCAGTGGCATGGTCCAGGCACATTTTCCCCATGGTGATGGCAGAGGGGAAACACATCACTGGGCTAACATCCCACAGGCCAGAGCAAGTGACATGGCCAAACTCAGAAGTAGGAAATACGGCATTAAAGTGCACATCAGAAGTGAAGGAAGACAGTGGAAATGTGAAGACAGTCATCGTGGTCAATATCCTCTGTGACAAACTTATCAGTTGTGGTGGTTTTAAACATTTGCAAATTCTTTGTTACTCCTCCCGTCAAGAGGTGGGATCCAGGTCCCCTCCTTCTGAGCTGGGGTGGGCCATTTTGGCCGCCTCGATGAACACAATGTGGCAGAAGTGACACTGCATGACTTTCTAGGCTTCTGCTGGTTTCTTGCAGACTTCTGCCCCTTGTGAGAAGTTCTGATACCCCGAGGTCCCCATGTGGGGAGACCAGACAGAGATGCTCGGGGATGCCTGGACTCCCAGCGAGGAATCTCTGGAGAGGGCCACAGACACTGCATGTCTCTGGAAACACATGGGAGTCCCTGAGCAAGAACTGCCCAGTGGAACCCAGTTAATCCCCAGATCCATGAGCAAATCATTGTTCCGGTTTTATGCCACTGTTTTGGGGTGCCTCATTATGCAATATTAGATAACTGGAAAATCAAGGCTACAATTTCTAGCAAGGAATGGTGCATAGGGGTGAACTGTAGCTCCCCTGTTTGCCACCCAGTTGTAACCTTGGATAAGTGCTCTGATGTCCCTGAATCTCAGCTTTTTCATCTGTAAAAATGGGGATCGTGTTCCCTGCCTCCTATGATTGCTGCCAGATTAAACACCCAGCACAGGGCCTGGATGGAGGCAGGTGCTCAGTCAGTATTGATGGAGTAAATAACTGCTTACTGCTCAGTGGGGCTCATAGGGTGAATTCTGGCTGGGTAGAGCTTGCAGGCCACAAAATGGGCAGATGGAATGACTGAAACAGTGCTGTGGTTCAGCCCAGGCTACAAATTATGACCGTTAGAGGCTGTTGAGTGTGTGTGAGTATGTGTGTGTGTGTGCACGCTTTCAAATCTTCCTTTAATAAGGAAGTGGAGACCTTTTGCTTTTTTTTTTTTTGAGATGGAGTCTCTCTCTGTTGCCCAGGCTGGAGTGCAGTGGCGCCATCTTGGCTCACTGCCACTTCCGCCTCCCAGGTTCAAGCAATTCTCCTGCCTCAGCCTCCCGAGTTGGGATTATAGGCAAAAATTACACACCTGGGTAATTTTTGTATTTTGAGTGGAGATGGCCAGGCTTGTCTTGAGCTCCTGGCCTCAGGTGATCCACCTGCCTTGGCCTCCCAAAGTGCTGGAATTACAGGTATGAGCCACCACACCTAACCCCCTTTTGCAGTCTTGATGGATGTGTGTGAAACCCGTTTGCTGGAGCTCTCAGGGGAACACGTTTTTATGTGCGGATCCCTATTTCATGAAGTTGCAGGGACATAGAATATGTAATTTGTTTGGGGCATTGCTTTGAGCAGGCTGATAAAAGTGGAAGCTAAAAAATTAATGTAGTCTCCTCCTTCAGATCCTGTAGCCAGCCTGTTCGGGTTTCTTCCCCATCTCTGCAACCCAAACGGAAGGATCTTCCTTTTTTTGCCTCATATGATCCACAGGAAAGTATCTTCCTTTTAACAAACTTCTTGACAGCACCCATACTGCAGAAGGTGCATGCATCCTGTGTTCATTTTGATGAAGTTTCGTAAACTACAGGCACCCGTATTTTCATAAACCAACTTCCAGATCCAGAAACAGAATCCCTTCCAGCACCCCAGATGTCCCTTCTCCCCTTTCTCATCAATACTTAGTCCCCAAACCCAGGGAAACCACAATTCGACTTAAAAATAACATCCTTTAGTTTCCCCAGTTTTTGTTCTTCCTGTAAACAAAATCATGCACTCTGATTTTGTGTCGGGATTCTTCGGCTCCACGCTGTCTCTGTAACACTCATGCATTTCTTGCACATATTTTGGCTCATTCATCTTCTTAGTTGTATCATATTTTATTTTATGACTATACCATAATTTATTTATCTGTTCTTCTGTTGATGGGTAGTTTCCAGATTTGTGTCCCATCTTCCTATCTCCCCAGCATGAGGCTTATCTCTTACCTCCCCAGCATGTGGCTTAAATACCTGGAACATTTGCTTGGAACATGAAGGAAGGAAGGCAGATTCTTTATAAATTCAAATCCATCTTGTCCGGTTGCCCACATTGTGCTGAGTGTCCTCACTGGCTGCTCCAGCCTCCCACCCACATGGCTAGACTTCAAGGAGTGGAGGGTGAGAACCCACTCCCTTGTCTGTTCCAATGACCAGTGCCCGAAATCCCACCTTGGGAGGGCCCTTCCTTTCCCACTGTTAAAATACAACACCCCCTCCACCCGGAAGGCATGTTCTCCAAAGTGAGCCTTCTAGGTCACTTGTCCCCAAAAAGAAGAAAAGAACAAGACTTCCTGAGAACTGATCTAGACCAGGAATGCAGCAGCGCTTGATGTCTGAGGGAAGCGGTTTTTCATTCAAGAGGGAAGGAAGAGGAACGTGCCCCAAAGCGAGGTGGGGACTTTGACTACAAACTCAGTGGGGCTCAGCATTCTGCCTGTCTCTGGCTCATTTTCCTGGGCACTGCGATTGAAGCAGGAGATTAGACTGGGGGCCTTTAACTCAACCTAATCCCAAATGCACCTTTATTTTATGTCTCACTAAGGAAGAACTAACATTGCAATGGAAAACTACAGCATCCTGCTTTCTTTAGAATTTTATTTTTAACTTATTTGAATGGGCTTTACATTTAATTAGGTAAAAATTTTTATAATATAGTACTTGGGTGAATATAAAAAGAAAAATATGAGCAAAATAAAATTGGTTAATATAGTCTAAATTTCTTAACATTGACCTGGTTTTTCTGATTCACTTTTGACTCCCAAATTGTTGTTGCCTGTGGTCTCCTCACTCCTCTGGCAATGCCATCCTGAGTGCCATGAAGTGTCTTGGTAATACAGTAATTCTGTTCTTTAATTTTATCTTTCACTAACAAATAATGATTGCATATATTAATGAGGTATAATGTGATGTTTTGGTATGTGTTTACATAGTAGAATGATAAAATCAAGTAAATTATTATATCTATCACCTTATGTACTTATGAATTTTTGTGATAAGAATATTTAAAACCCAATCTTTAAGCAATTTTGAAATATACAATGCTATGATTAATTATACTCATCATGCTGTACAATAGATCACTAAAGCTTTGACCCTCTGCCTGGCTGAACGTTGTACGTTTTAATCAACATCTCTCTTTTCTCCATCCACCCCCATCCCTGAGCCTTTGATAAACACCATCCTACTCTCTCCTTCTATGAGTTTGCCTTTTATCATCCAAGCATGAACTGAAAGCGTTGGCTCTGGGTTCTGAAGCTGGTTTTGCAGCCTGCTTCTGATTCCTGCTTTGGGGAGGGCTCCTGAAGGGAAATTTTCCCTTCTCACTCCCAGACCAATTAGGAGAGGCTCCAGGATTTCCATGCACATGGTGGATACCACTCTCCAGGGTTTGATGCTGGTGCTTTTGATATTCATGCATGTAATAGTCCGGGGCAACTATGTGGCATGACTACTTCTTAGAGGAAATGGTTGTAAGGAAGCTTTGATATATACTAAGATGCATCCCAACTTCAGAACTGCTAAGATACAGAAAAAAGTATAAGTTAGAATCAATGCAAAAATCGCAGCCCCATCCCTGCCTGCTGCTCAGCTCTGCCATCCCCCAGAATCACGGCCTCCCAGAAGCCTGCAGCCTTGTCGTGAGTCATAACCTGTGTCTGAACACTCGATTTATCTTCATCTTTCTTGAAAGACTGTATGTAAACTGATCACATTGTTCTACTCCCCACTTCCCTCCAAACTAAACCAAGTAACACAATTCAGTGGCTTTTCTGGAGCAAGAGGACAGAGAGTGATACCAGCGTTCAGACCCAGGAGTGCTGTGGGTATGTTCATTATCTAGGCATAAAACAGCTCGGCATCAAAGCATCCCTGGGAAAGGTCAATATCCAGGCTGTCTTCTGCTTCTGCTCCTGATCTCCATCACACCTACCTCTTTGCAGGGTGTGCTGCGGGTCTGGACCGGTGAGAACTGAGCCTGGGAGAGGAGACCAAGCAAAGGCTTAATTTTCTGCTCTGTTTTCCCCAGTTTGCCCGGGGATCATCTTTAGCGGTGGCAGATGGGAGGCTTTGTTCTTCATTGCTCCTCCGTTAAAGTGCTGTCCCTGAGATCCCTAGAAAGAGTTTGTTTTATTTGTTTTTTGGCCAGAGGTGCATTCAGAAAAAGGCCCAGGCAACTCCCCAGAGGAACTTTATTCTTTATTTTAGTGGCTCAGGAGCCTGGAGATATTAATCTTTTTCCACTTCAGAGCTTGCTGAGAAAGGGTTTGGGGGCTTGAAAGGGGATGGCTTACTTTTTTTTTGGTTCAGCATGATAACGGCCACAGACTCTGTGAGGGGACTCTGGTGACTCTGTCTGTTCTACATGAGGTTTTGAACAGATTACTTTTCTCAGCCAGCTTCCTGGGGAGAGACTCACTTTCATTGAGAAGATGGCCTGAGCTTTGTAGAATAAAACAATGCTTCAGGCCGGATGAAAGAGACACCGTTCTGTAGAGGCCAGGGAAGCCTTTTCTTGACGTTCTAGAGAGAGGCAAAGTGGAAGAGAGAAAGGAGAGGGGGGCTGGGGACTGGCAGGAGGCCTCACTGTGGGAGCTCAGATCATTAATGTTAATTCTCCCACACCCCTGCCATGGCCCCAGACGTGGGGGAAGGGGAGGAGGTGTTTTCCTCTGACTTTACCTTTGGCTGTGTGACTTGTTTTGGTCAGTGGGATGTCAGCA